AGTTTAATTCAAAATACCATTTTTTAATCTTCTTAATAAAAAATAATAAAGAATGTAATGACTGATTAATACAATTAATTTAAAATGATAATTAGGAGATAGACTTAAAAGTATCTAATTATAGTACATTTTTAGATTTACCAAGGTAATTGATACCGAATATAGTCAAAAATCTATAGGTTTCTTATTTTATTGCAATTATACCTATATTAATTTTAAAAAATGTTTAGTCAAATATAAAGAAAAATAATTAATCTAAAAAGCATCTACACCTAGAGTTTCTTTAATACCAAGCGAAAATTATTACATAAAAAATAAATTATTTTAAATTTTACTTTGGATTGCCATTTTAAGTGCTTTTACTCACAAAACCAAAAAAATTAAACTATTATTGCAAAAAAATAAAAACAAATTGGATTGAAGTTAATCTAAAAAACATCTAATTATAGAAAATATTCAGAAACATGCATGTTTCTGAATATTTTCTATAATTAGATGTTTTTTAGATTAAGGCATGCCTTTGAATTGAAATTTTATAATTTTCTCTTACTTTTCTTTTTCAATATTATGTTTATTCTTCTTATTTATTAAAGATAAGAATAATAATAATGTGTAAAGTATCTGTGGGTGTGAACAGAAGAGTGCTTAAAAATAAAAAAAATTGTAGTTAAATATTTAATTTAAGGTGTTAGTGATACGGCGATTTTAGATATGGTTCCACCAGTTAAGTATTTTATTTTTTAATTTAAAAATATTATTTGTTTTATCATTTGTACCATTTTTTATTAATCTACAAAATGTTGCAGTACCTAACCATAAAGCCTGATTTATAGATTGCCTTCCTTCCTTCCTTTCTTCCTCACGTAAAAGATTAACAATAAAAAAACCGTTGTGCTGTTTATAGATTCCCGTAAGGCAAGCTATAAATGGCACTACGATTTTCGAATTGTTCATCTTTTACGGGAGGAAGGAAGAAAGGAATCTATAAATCAGGCTTAAGACTGGTCCGGCAGCCTGTCACAGTCATTGCCCTTTTTCAATATAAAATTCAGTACCACATAGTAAACCAAAAATACGTAATATTGTAACAGTTTAATCTAAAAACTTTTTAGAATAAACCAAAACAAGCGTGAATAACTTTTGTTGCGTATTAAGTAAAATGGCGAATCGACACATAAATTCGTGATTCACAAACGTATTTGAATTTTATAAGCTCCATCTTCCGGCATTACCGCTAATTAATAAATTGAATTCTATTCAGAGTTTTAAACTCGTGGCCCTCTATGCTGGGAAACCGAGAAATTAGAGCGAGAAAGACTCATACAAACTCACGTTAGTAGAAAGAGATAAATTTGTACGACCAATCAGGCAATCTACCTCCCACTTTGTTCTCATCTGTCACAGAGTGTGCTCTGTGTTCAGTTCTAATTTGGTAGTCGTTCGTTAATGACGTTGTTAAATAGCGTCGAATAGCATCATCTAAATCTCATCTATAAGTAAGTACTTTTAAAAATGCATTTGAAATTTAATTTTAATAGTTAATAATAATTATAGCGCGGAAGGTTTCCAGCGATTACATAAAAATTATTATATTGTGATATTATAGTTATTTTTTGCACATGTATAAAGATAAGTGTTTCCTTTTTTAACTCTGATTTTTGTAAACATTTTGACGTCATCGCTGGAAAAGTTCCGCGGTATAATAATAATACTAAGACAACAAGGTATGATTAGTTGGCGAACCAATTTTAGACGGTTGGTATATAGGAATTTACCTTTTAATTTGAAAGTTTCGTTGTTTCTACTGAAAATTATTTAAGTATACTTAATAAAAAACAGTATCTTTACATAACATTATATCTTTATTTAATTTTTACCTTATAAATAAAAGTAATTTTACACAGCATATTATGTTGTGTAAAGTAACTCTTTTTTATTTGTATTATTACAGGGAACAATTGAATAAGGATATTATGCTGAGCATAATATCCGTATTCCATTGTTCCCTGTAATAATACAAATAAAAAAGAGTTACTTTACACAACATAATATCATTGAGTAAAGTGTCTTTACTCAATGATAATATCTTAGTATCATGGTTCTCTGTGTTCAGTACTAATTCGGTAGTCGTTTGTTAATGAGGTGGTTGAATAGCGTTAAATTGCATCATCTAAATCTCATCTATACGTATGTAGGGGTGGGCAAAATAATCGATTAATCGATTATTAATAGATATCAAACCGCCGATTATTTTCATAATAATCGATTATTTGATTAATCGACTATTGATTAATAATAATAATATTTATTCAACGGTAAATAACCAATACATCGAATAATCGATTAGTTGATTAATCGATTATAATCAACTAATCGATTATTTGATTATTTTATTATTATAATAATAATTATTATTATTTTAAATAAAGAATTTAAACATTATGCCCAATATTTAATTGCCATACCTAATTATGAAAACGTAATAATTATTATAATTAATTAATTGTTATAATTAAAACAATCAAATATGTAAATAAAAATAATATGACCAATTGACCATTTTTTTAACTAAACAAAATAAAAATTGTTATTTTTTAGAAAACCCATTTGTATGATTTATGCTGGGTTTAAAAAATGCTGCTAAAAAACTTTTTAGGCCATATGTATTAAAAAAACAAGATAATTAATAATTTAATCGATTAATCAGTAATTGATTAATCAAATAATCGATTACTTAAATAATCGATTAATCCAACAATCGATTAATCAATAACCGATTAATCAAAATCGATTATGAATTTCAATAAACGCCCAGCCCTATAAGTACTTAAGTACTTTTAAAAAAAGTAGTGTAATTTTGTACGCATTTGAAATTTGATTAAAAGTTAAATTAAAATAATATAATAAGTATATTTTTTAATTATTATTATTATTTAATTTTTTTTACGTTACTTTTTTTCTTCTGTACTTAATTTAACCTATATAACACTAGCTGCTCTACATGCACAATAGTTATTCAAATTATTTTGACCTAAAATGCACGAAAATGAAATGTCTTCAATTCCAATAGTAATTTTAGGGTTTTTATGTAATAAATTTTGGGGAAGCTTAATAATTACCGCATAAATTGTGCTAAATAAATTTTAATTTACATTTAAATGTCACTTTCTCTCAACGTTGCAAGTTAAAAAAACGCATTTAGACACGAGTTATACAGGGTGTTTCACGTTCGTGGTCCATTAGAAGTTTCTGGGAAACGGAAAAAGATATCGATTTGAAATTTTAACAGCGTTTATAATTCATTTAAATCTATTTTTCTAAAATATTTTAAACAAAATTCCACTTTTAAACGGAAGTGGCATCAACTTTGTTATTTCAAACGAAACACCCCATATATTTTTACATTTTTAAATTCTACATACAATTCTGAGTAAAATTATTATACCATGTCCTATACATAAGGTGAATAGTTTTTGAGTTATTCATTTTTTTCGTTAAAATTTGACAAATGCGCGTCAATCAAAAATAGCCTTTTTTGTTATTAGGTTTGCGGATTGGGGGTAGAATTTTTTGAATCTTAAAACATTGTTTAAAAGATTCCATGTTAATTTTTAATATTTCTCAACAAATTACTTGAGAAAAACCATGACAAATTGGGCTAACTTGAAACGTTAATAACTTTTTTATTTTAAATGTAACACCCTGTATATTTTTACTTAATCAAATATAATAAATAAAAAATAATACTTAAAATATTTAAAATTGTTAAATATCTGTGAAATTATTAAATTTAGGTATAGGGAATATTTAAATTAATCGAAAGGATTTTTAATTTTCTATTTGGTTATGTAAAAACATACATGGTGTTACATTTAAAATAAAAAGTTATTAACGTTTCAAGTTAGCCTAATTGGCCTGGTTTTTCTCAAGTAATTTGTTGAGAAATATTAAAGAATTAATATGGAATTTTTTAAACAATGTTTTAAGATTCAAAAAATTCAAATTGTCAAATTTTAACGTAAAAAATGAATAACTCAAAAACTATTTACTTTAGGTATAGGACATGGTATAGTAATTTTACTCAGAATTTTATGTTAGAATTTAAAAATATAAAAATATATGGGGTGTTCCATTTGAAATAACAAAGTTGATGTCACTTCCGGTTAAACCGGAAGTGGAATTTTGTTTAAAACATTTTATAAAAATGTACTAAGATGGATTATAAACGCTTTTAAAATTTTAAGTTGATATCTTTTTCCTTTCCCCAGAAAGTTCTAATGGACCATGAACGTGAAACAGCCTGTATATAATATTTTTTGCGACACTTATAAAGTTTAATTTTAGTATATTAAATTTAAATGTCATTCTTAAAATTGTCCATTTTGACAACTTCAAAACGCATTAAATGCCTAATTTAAATGCTATGTTTCAAATAAAATAAAACAGTTAAGTCTATCACAATGAAGCGTTTAATAAGTAGGTGTTGCAAAAACATATTTTTTTATTTCTTTAGTTAAAACTCATTTTTACTTAGGCGAAAAAATAAAAAAATACATTATTTTTAATTCACTGTTTTTGTGCGCTAATGATAAAACGTCAAAAAAATATTAAAAGTTCTGCATTCTTATTAAATTACTATAAAAATTTAAATTTTACTGGTTTTGTTAATTTATTTTGACAATATAGTGGCACAACTCTGATTTGATTATAGTATAGAGTCAGTATACAAAAAACAGTAATGGTGGCTTTAAAAAAAAATTGTCAGTTTGACATATTTTAAAATTGACTTCTTGCATAATATTCTTTATTAAACGTTTATTGAAATTAATTATTTAAAAAAAAATGATAAAAATTCTAACTTTGTAAACTTTGTAAACTAAAGCTATCAAAATTCAGTGTTACCACAATTTTTGAAAATTTTTATAGCCATCTTTACTTTTTTTTGTTAGTGAATGCATTATAAACTATAATTCAGTTGTTACAGGATTTAAAAATATAAAATGTCAGCCAGAATTGTTTCAAAACGTCAGTTAAGACGAAAAATTAAAGCCAATGTATCCAAGATTATGTCTGAGATTAAACTTAGTGCCAATCAGTTAGATAAAAATACATTTAAAAAAATAAGATCGAATCAAACAAGCAATCTATTATTATCGGAACAGCTCGTAGAAAGTAAAATAAATAGCCGCTCAAACTTAACCTCATCTAAGCTAGATGAGAGAGCCATTGTAAGTCCAAAAAAAATCATAATGCCAGGACTAGATGAGACCTATGCAGAAAATATTTTATTGAGTCATACTTTAAGTACTAGCATAACACAGTCCAAAAATATCACAAAACAAAATAGTAGTTATGAAGTTGATACCACAAATAATGTAGCTTTATCGGAAAATACTTATGCACTTGGTACTACAAATAATGTAGGTTCATCGAAAAATACTGATGTATTTTTGCAGAATTTTCAGCAATGGGCATTAAAAAATAATATAACGCATACTGCAATAAATGATTTAATAAAATTAATAAAGGAAAAATATCCATTTCTTCCTAATGATGCCAGAACAATTTTAGGCACTCCGAAAAATAATGTGAGAATAAAACTTGACAACGGTGAAATGATCTATTTTGGCATTGAAAATGAGTTAAGGTATATTTTAAAAAGTATTCAACCTGAAAAAAGAATAAAAACATTTGTGCTTCAATTTAATGTGGATGGTATATCACCTTATAATAACAGTTCATTGGAATTATGGCCCATACTCTGTAAAATAAACAATTACGAGGGAATAAAACCTTTTGTTGTAGCTGTTTTTTCTGGTAGAGGTAAACCATTACCAATCAATAAGTATTTGGAAAATTTTGTTAATGAAGCAAAGAATCTATTGAAAAATGGGTTGGACTTTGAGTATCAAAAAATTCGTATCCAAATCCTTTTATTCACATGTGATGCCCCTGCCAGGGCTTACTTAAAACAAGTTAAAGGCCACACAAGTAAAAATGGGTGTGAAAGATGTACAATTACATCGCAATATGAAAACAAAAAGCATTTTTATCCCACTGGAGACCATGGTACTAAAAGGAATGATACCGATTTTTTAATGGAAAATACAAATAATTCGCATTGCAAAGCTAAATCTCCCTTGTTATCGCTTGAAATCGGACTTGTTTCTCAATTCGTTTTAGATCCAATGCACTTAATTTATTTAGGAGTTGTGAGACGATTAATATTAAAATATTGGGTTGAAGGAAAAAGAAAATTTAAGATTGAAAACATTACTAGGCTTGATAGAAAAATTAAGTGTCTAAAGTTTTCGGATGATTTTGGTCGCAAATTAAATGTATTAAGTGAGATAAAACGTTGGAAAGCCGTTGAATGTAGAACATTTCTTTTATATTGTTCTCCATTTCTTTTAAAACAACACCTTAAAGTTGATGCATATAAACATTTTTTAAATCTGCATGTAGCCATAACCATATTTTCATCTCAGTTTTTAATTAATAAATATTATGACATTGCAAAAAAAGCCTTATATAAATTTGTTAGTCAAAGCGCTGATATATATGATAAATATTTTGTTGTTTATAATGTGCATTCTATAACTCATATTTGTGATGATGTCGAAAAGTATGGCCCTTTAGAAAATTTTAGTTGTTTTGATTTTGAAAACACATTGGGTAAAATTAAAAAAAGCATTAGAGGTTTCAAAAATCCTTTAAGTCAGTTAAACAACAGAATCCACGAATTTCGCTTACTTCGTAAACCAAAAGAAAAAGCAGGTTTAATTCCTAAGGAAATATATAATAAAAAAGAAGAATTTTTTGAATGCAAATCTTTATATACTGAATTTTATAATGTGTCAACAAAAGCACCAAATAACTTTGTTATGGCAAAGCACAAAGTGTTCAAAATTAAATTAATTTACTTTTTAAATGGCGAATACTATATTTCAGGTGTATCCTTCAGACGTCAAGACGATCTGTATACATATCCAATTGAATCATCCAAAATTAATATATTTTTTGTGAAAGGGGAACAAACAGTTGTACAAAATTATTCAATTAAGTCAATAAGATGTAAATGTCAAAGTTTTTGTTATAAAGATGGCTATGCAGTTTTTCCCATTTTGCATACCTTAACTTCTGAACTTTAGAAATATGTAGTCTAGGAAATACCCTAAGTCAGTGAAACAAAGTACTATCAATTCTAGTAACTTTTAGTAGGTGTATTCACTTTGTGACGTTTTATATTTTTTAATATTATCAACTAATGGTGTATTGTATCAAAAATTAAAATATTTAAATAAAAATAATTTATTAGAAAATGAAGATGTGATTTGGGTGTAATTACGTAGAAATTAATTTAAAATTTGACAACTTGAACATAACAACAATTAAAAATAAGTTTTATTAAAGATATGCCTTTTTGATAATTTTTTGTTTCAATCAATTTTTATAAGAGTAAGAGAGAAGGGTTGCTGACTTGGGGGTATTGCAACAACTATATTTGGCAAATACTTTACAGCATCAAATTTTATAAAATTCGATGCTGTAAAGTATTTGCCATACAACTATCTAGTCAGTAAAAAACTAATATATATATATTAGTTTTTTACTGTCTAGTTGTATGGCAAATACTATAGTGTAAATTCCCATTTTAAAATTGGTACATTAACTTATGAATCTGTAGTTGCTATAATTATAATGTTAAATTGAAAAATTGGCTTTGTGATTAATATTTATCATATTATATTAAATGTTATTTTCAAATTGTAAGGGTTTTGTAACATGTTTGCCGTGGTTGAATTCGATACAAAGGAATGTGACGTGGCACCCTTACTTTGGGTTCATGAGGATAACAAAAAATGTTATTGGCCTAGAAAAAATAGCGATCATCACACAAAAACAAAAACTGTGCCAAAATTATCGTGGCCATCCCATAACCTAAGAAAGATACATGGCACATACGGTAAGATTTTATATATTTTTTATTCTTTATTTTTTTTTGTGGAAAAATTGTGTTTGTTTTTTTTTTGATTTCACCTTTTTTTGTTAATTTTAAAATTCTTAAAACAAAGGAATAATTAATTCTCATTTTGTTTCATTAATTACATCTCATTTAAAACATCTTTCTTATAGAATTATTAGAAGATGCCACGGTTATGCTACAAAATATTATAGAAGCAAGTGAAAGCGAATCAGGGGCTGGAGTTCCCCCTTTAACAAGAAAAAATAATTTTTATGAATTAGAAAACGAATCCGAAACACGTAATAGATCAGAAATGCGTGATAGATCAAAATCGCCTGATAGATCAGATACGCCTCTTGGTGCATTACCTAGTTCATATTCATCTACGCGTGGAAGATCAATATCGCGTGTTAGATCAGAATCTCGTGATAGATCACAAACTCGTGATAGATCACAAAATCGTGATACATCAGAAACGCATGATAGATCGGATACGCCTCTTGGTGCATTATCTTCTCCTTCATATTCTGCTACACTAACTAGCGCATCGTCATTGAGCACATCAGTTGCTCTGAATGAAGGGGTTACAGAAAGAATTCTTCAAACCATGCTATCTATCTCGGAACAGGTGGCACAAAATACTTTAAGAAACCAGCAAATTCTTAGAATTTTAAATTCTAATGAATGTGCAGTTTTAAAAAAACCAGACAATTTTCCAATACTTCCATGTAACAAAAAAACAATAAAACAGTTAGAAAAATGTTTACGAGAAGAAGATGGAGCTTTGAATTACTTTGTAAGTATAACTTCTTATTTAAAATTTGTTTTATATCATTCAGGCCAATTCACTAACATAAGTTGTTAACGTTAGCCACTAGTAAATTGGCCTGATTGTTAGAATCGCTTCTGTTTTTTTTTTCAAAAAATCTTTTTTGTGTTAAAATTAACAATAAAGAAATATTTATAAAATCATAAACATGACACATGCATGTAAATATTTATTTTTATTAAAATTAATCAAAGACAAAAATTTTTATTTTAGGGCCCACTCTAATCCTTTATATTATCGCACGTTATTTTTGATGTAGTGAAATAACCCTGTTTTGGAAAATTTTTAATATGTAGCTCCTAATAAAAAATATTTACGTTTAAGTATTTTAAAATTTACTTTTTTTAATTTTTTTTTAAATTTTCTTTAGAAACAACGTTTAAGCACTCTAGGAGGAACAACAGTTCGACAAATGGTAGCTAACATGATGAAATATATAATGACAAACAAATTAGGAAAAAAGTTCAATTGGGCCGGACACAATGGTAAAAAAACAATTTAAAGACACAAAATGTGCTGAGGCCATTCAAGGTAAATTTTGTAAATAATTAACATTTTAATTCATTCACAATCCATATTCTTTAAAGGCGGCTATGTTTTCGTTTCAATGCAGTATTTGTCAATAATGTATTGTTTAAGAATTTTTTCATGGTTTTTTCTAACCACCCTTAAGGAATATAGATTTACTTTACTACAAGAGTGTTTATTTATTTTTGCTTTTATTCAAAAGTATTTTAAATGAAATAATTTGAAAATTAAGTCAAGTTTTTTTTTAAGATGCTGTATTCATGGCCTTTGAAGTAGAAAAACCGACAGACTTAAATGTGACAAACATTATTAGAGGGATGCAAGACTGGCTAAGATTAGCCCCGCAACGCTACAATTATAACAATAAAAAATAATTATATATTTTTTAACAAGTACCTACCTATTTAGTAGTTATATTTAAAAGTTTTTCTGAACTTTTTGGTACAAATATGTTTTTATTTTTTTGAAATATATTTAATATTTATGTTTATTTTATTTTGCAGTTCAGAAAAATTTAAGATAATATTATTTTTTTAACAAGTAGGTACCTATTTTTTGATGTTTTTTTATATTATTCTAGGAGCCCAAAAAATTTAAATTTGTCAAACCACTAGGCGAATTGGTTTGATGAAAGTTCCTAAACAAACAAGCAATTTTTGACTCTTGTGAATAAGGCCTTTAAGGCCTGCAATTCATAGTGTGACACTTTAAAAAATAAAACGTTTTCCATGATAAACAAACCGCTAATGCTTTCGGTTTGACTTTAATTCTAGGTGAAAGGATTGTATTAATTAAGTTAGCGAAAGTTTTCCGATTCCCAAAAAATAATCAAACTGTTTAAAGTTTTTTGTGCAATTTAATTTCTTGCCGACTTAATTCATACAACCTAGAATTAAAGTCAAACCGAAGGCATTAGCGATTTGATTATGATGAAAAACGTTTTATTTTTCAAAAGGTGGCACTATGAACTGCCGGTCCTAAAGGCCATATTCACAAGAGTCAAAAAATGCTTTTATGTATAAGTATTTTCATCAAACAACTTCGGTTTTGTTTTACTTTTTTGCACACTATAGCGCCTAGCCGCCTAGAATATATGTAAACAATTTTTTTTTAACTTTTTAGTACAAATTTGTACAAATATGTTTTCATTTTTTAAAATGTATTAAATATTTATGTGATAATAAATAATTTTTTTGTTTTATAAGTAAATTGTTCTTTTTTGTTTATTTTCACCTCTCACAATAAACCTATATCTATTTTAAAAAATATTTATTAAGTTGTTTTTTGTAAAATAATACGTTTTTTTTAGGATATTTAATCGAGGCCACAATATATTGTTTTTAAGGTAACTTTATTAGCCATATTTTTTAGAAGATAAAACTAAGTGTTTCATACAAATTAAATACTATTTGTTAATTTTTATAACAGATAAAGTGTAAATTTGTATTCAACTTTTTAAATTATCTGCTTATTATATTACCATTGATTATGGGGTGTCTCAACTCAACGATATTACTTTATTACAAATTAATATAATATATTAGCATATTGTCAACTATTAATTATCTGTTATAAAAGTTAACTAAGATTTTTTTACCCTATTGAAAATGCCATATAGAACCCATATTGAATCCGATAAGGAAACGTATCTGGTTCTATATGGTTTTATAGGTCCTATATGGAAAGTCCTGCTTTACATTACGGATTCTATATGGTTGAATATGGATTTCCATTTTAAAATTTTTTATATTCAACCATATAGGGAAACCTATCTGGAAATACATATAGAACAGAAACCAGATAAATCCATATACAACCATATACATCTTTATAAAGACATGTATATGGATGTATATGGATTTATCTGGTTTCTGTTCTATATGTATTTCCAGATAGGTTTCCCTATCTGGTTCTATAGTGTTTTAGAGTGTTTTTATCTGGTTCTATAATGTAATCTTCTATCTGGTTCTATAGTGAAATGCCTGTTTCAAATACCTATATTGAACCAGATAGAAACCATATAGAATCCAGATACGTGTTTTTTATATGGTTCTATATGGCATTTTCAATAGGGTAAAGTTATATATAAAAAATTACTGCAAATATATGAAGCACCTATTTTATCTTTTAGGAAATAAAGCTAAAAAAGCTAATTTAAAAACAAAATATTGTGGCCTCTAATAAATATCTTAATAAAACATAATAATATGATAGATATACATTTTATGGTTACAAATAGATATTTTTAAATAATATATTAAAAGATATACAAAGGATATATTTTAAACTACGTCTTTAAGAAAGCTATTAAGTATGTAGGTAAGTATCTATACTGTATCATTTTATTTATATCTTTAAATAGATATTTTTAATTACTATATTAAAAGATATTTAAACAACGTATTTTTAACCACGCCATTTAGATGTCAATTTTGCTATGTTAAAAGCTAGTCCATGCAATAACGTTTTTTTTACATAAAAAGTTTTATCAATATTAGTTGTCTTTTTACTAAAATAAATAAAACATTTTATTTAGACATTTAAACTGCTTCTAAAATGATTGTCTTATTTCAATCTAAAAAAATGATGAATATTATTAAATGTTTTTTAGACATAAAAAATAGTCGTAGTATAACCATGATCTATTAACTATAATATAATAGATGTATATTTTATATAAAAATATGGATAAAAATAAGGCGTTAAGTATTTAAATGTGATATATAGTTAAGCATATATAAAACTTATTTTGATATACATTTATAAGACTTCTTTTAATACATTATTAAAATTATGTCTACCTATATATGTTTTATTGACCTAGTTTGAAATTATTTATTATACGTGTATTAGACGGACACTTCGATGTCTAAATCATGTCGCTCAAATTGGCCAATACTACCATCCTTAGACCATCGCAAGCACGTCTATTAAACGTCGTATAAACGTACCAGTGTTACTTGGGTATTGTTAAAAAGGTGATTTCAATGCGGGTCCAACGGTACCCAATTTTTTTTCGATCGGATGAAAAATGGCTGAGTTGCAGTTGATAAAAGTTTAAATTTCATACAATTTTTGACGATTTTTAGCCATTTTTGTCAATTGAGTAATTTTTTACAACAACAAATAACTCCAATATTTTAAGTTTAACATTTTTAATCAAAAGTTTATTTAATTACAAAAAAATTAAGCCCTAACAGATTAAAAACGCATAAAAAATAAAAATATTATGATAAAAATAAGAAAAAACTAGTTTTTAAATTAACTGCAAATATTTTTAGTTTTTTCTTATTTTTATCATATTTTTAATCCGATCTTGGTCTTCTAGGGCTTGAAATTTTTATAATTATATATACAATTGATTAGAAATAAAACTTGGGATATTGGAATTATTTGTTGTGGGAAAAATTACTCAAATGACGAAAATTGCTGTAAATCGTCAAAAATTGCATGAAGTTTGAAATTTTATAAGCTGTAACTCAGCCATTTTTCATCTGATCAAAACGAATTTGGTACCTTTGTACGCGTAATTTAGTCACCTTTCTAATAATATCTCGACTTATCTGAATTGGGCTTGCCGTTCAATCTGGGCTGCTGCGCGCTGGTTTAAGTAAAGTAATTCATCGAAAAACAAAAATACACCGTTACCTAGGTGAATGGCCCAAATGAGAAAAAAATGAGTATGTTTTTCGTGTTCAGCGCATCTGAATTACCCTAAAAAAATGAAGAAGGAAGTTTCTATCTTTAAAAAATTTAAATTTGTAAACCAGTGTAATTTAAGTAAGCTACTTTATTACAGATTTTGTGACTCGACTTGCAATTTTTATTTTATTTATTTTTAAAAACGGTAAAATTATCATACGTTTAATTTTATAACTTCTTATAATAAAATCTTTAAACAAATATTTCTACAACCTAAACTTTGTCAATGTTTTGACTACATTTGACTCGATATATATGTAAAGAAATTTTCAATAATTCACATTGCTCGCCGCAGGGTAAAGTTTTTGATGCACGATTTTGATAATTCTATATTGCAATTTTTTTTCAAAATATTTAGACATTTTTGAATTGCTATTAGAAGCGCTCACATTTCAAGTATAAGTCTGCAAAAAATCAGAAGTTTATTGTATTCTAAAGATTTTGAAAAAAAATTGCTATAGAATTAATTATTAAAATCGTGCATCAAAAAACAGCTATGTGAATTATTGAAAATTTGTATACATATATATATATATATATATATGGACTTAAATGTAGTCAGACTATTGACAAAGTTTTTAAAACAAAAATTAAGTCGCTAATTTGAACGGTTACATAAATATGAATTTTTATATTTCAATTTTAAATATAAACACATCCGTGAGGTTA